CTCTCTCTCTCTCTCTCCCCCCCACCCCTCTCCGACTCTCTCTTTCTCAAAAAAAAAAAAAAAATCTGAGATAAAGTCTAGTCTCAGACAACCCTGTTTTTCATTTCTGCATCAATTTCTGTTTCCTACTTTATTCAGGCCCCAAACCTTGCAATGGCCTTCAGAGCCTCTCCTTCCCACACTCTATGTCCAAACCACCGGGAAATCTTGGTGCTTTCAAATTCTCTTCCTTCAAGGGGACACTCACAATCCCACTGCCTCTCTTCACTTCCATTGCCCCTCTGCCACTCCTGGTCTCAGGCCGATGACAGCAATGGCTTCTGATGTTTTTTTGCCGTCACTCTTGGCCCCTCCGTACAACTCAGCAGCCAGAGGGATCCTCTGGAAACATAGTTACATCTTGTCTCTGCTTCGTTCATGACTCTCTGATGGCTCCTAGATCCCTCAGAGGAAAAGCCAAGTCCTCACAGCAGTGCCTACAGATGGCAGTGACAACTGCTCTCTGTCATTTGTTGTCATATCCCACATCCCTGACACGCCATTCTGTCACTCAGCTCGAGCTCCTCTAACCTCCCTGCTTCCGTAGAAGTTTTTGTCATCACACACACACATCCAGTTACTGCTTGTTTCCCCCACTAGAATGAACTTCAAGAGGGGAAGGATTTCAAGATTTTGATTTTAAGTAATCTCTACAGCCAAAATGGGGCTCGAACTCATGACCTTGAGATCAAGAGTCGTGCGCTCCACTGACTGAGCCAACCAGGCGCCCCAAGAGGGGAAGGATTTTTATTTATTTGGTTCATTGATGTACCCTCAGTGTCTAGAACAATGGTGCCTGGCACATAATAGGTGTCAGTAAATATTTCTTGAATAAATAAATGAGAAACATAATTTTGGACTAGGTAATGTTTCCAAAATCAAAGGGATACACGGAAGGACTTATAAAGCTCAGGAAACCAGGCACATTTTCCTTATACTGGGATTTTTTTGTTTTTGTTTTTTAAAAAAATTAGCTTTCTCTTTTTATCCCTTTCGTAATTGAGAATAGTTTGATGTGATTGGCTTAGTAAGGATCTCTGGACAATAGGGCAGAGAAAAGAAACCTGCCTTTTGGGAATATGACAGTATGTAAGAAAATTAATTATGTGGAAACTATAAAGAAATATGTCGTTTGTGTTGTACGATTTGTGGGCGTAAACATACATACACGGACTGTGTGAAAATTGCTTTGATGAGTCCCGCTTTTGATGTTACCCCCACCCCCCTCACTTTGTTTGCTCTGCTCTGCTGTCCCTTAGAACACATTTCCTCCCTATACATGCACACATCTCCGTACAGACACCCAGGAAAAAATGGTCATTCAGGCGTGTGTCAAGTCCTGCACACCCCAAAGATTCATTTAAAAAATACAGGCATGTTATAAATCTTGGCTGACAATCTAGTATTTGCCTAGCCAGAATGACCTCTGCACCAGAACTGGGGGCAGAGAGAAGGAGGAAGAGAGGGAGGAGAAGGAGAAGGAGAGGGAGAGGGAGTGGGGAGGGAGAGAGGGGAGGAGGAGAGGGGGAGAGGGAGGGAGGGGCAGGCTTTATAGCCATTTGGTTTAGTGGACTGCAGCTTCTCATGAGTATTCAGCCTATAGGATGCAATCGGGATATGTTTGAAGTATTATAACATGGATATGTCATATATCACTGCATGGGCCCCTATCAGCAATCTCACATTCCAGAGCAGATTTTGACAGTGTTTGTTTGAGTTAATTCCTAATTCGAAGGGAACACATCAGCCCTGATTTTCCTTGGGAAGAAGTTTGCTCCTGCTTCTTCCTGACCCACACCATTGCTTGCTTGCTCTGGGCACTCCTCTGGCATGCCCCCCACCGACCCTTAGGACCACTACCAGCTGCAGTCTCAGCCTCCTGGCTCTCATACTTCCTGCAATGGTCACCACATTTCACCTCCTTCTTTCCCTTTAGGAGACAAAGACTCTCTTCGGTCAGGCCTTTCTCCTTTCCTCGGATGCCTCCTTCCTGACTCATCCTTGGTCCCTGGCTGGATTTGCCATACACCATAGAAATGAAGAAAATCACTTTACCAGCTGTTTTATCAAGCATCAGATTTGTGGTGAGGTTATCTGGAAATAGCAACAAAGCCTGGAAGACCATGCAAGATGTCACTGTGGGATGAGAGAGTACTGATAACACAACATACCAGCTACACTTCCAAGTGTCTCAACTCATTCACTCCTCAAACAACCTTATACAGGAGGTACTATTATCATTACTCAATTTAATGGAGGACACAGAGGATGGGGTTAAGTGCTGGAGTTGGAGATTCTAATCAGGGCATTCTGGCTCCCAAATGAATACCAAAGACCTGCCTCCAGCCATGGGCCAAGAGCTCAGATTCCCTGGGTGTCTACTTTGTGTTCTTATCCCCCTGAATCTAGCGGCTAACCCCCCAGTTATCTCTGCCTTAGTTGGGGGAAGAGTCCACTGTTTGGCATGGAAAAAGTTAATGCATTTGAAGGCAGGTCTTCATTACTGATTTCATTTCCATGAGTGTTAAAATGAAATCTGCTTCCCCAGAGCTTTTCCCAGAAAATGACAGTAGGTCATGGGAAAACAGAGCCATCTGTCTGTCAGTCTGGGCTCCAGGTGTAAAGAGAGGCCCTGGAAATGTCAGTCCATATAGTTCTGGGGGAAGAATGAGAGTTTTTAGTTACAAGTAAATCTTCAGAGGGGGTAATTCCACCTGAACCCTACGTGGTGGCCTCCTTGTCCCTTGTAGAGCCAGTATAGAAGGTCCCTGCTTGATGCAGAAGGGAGGTGCTAATCTTGCCAGGGTTGTCTTCTACATGTCTTGGTTTATATAGGGTTTGGTTAGGAAAAGTCCCTAGAACCTTCCCCAGCCTACCTATCCTCACTCCCCTCAGCCTCCAGTTCTGCCCACGACTGCTTGGATGAAAAGACCTTCGGCATTCTCGGGGCTATCGCAATAATGCAAGATCTAAAATGTACCCAATTAAGATACTTGTTCCAGAAACAACGTGAGTCCAGATATGGGGTTCCAACTGAGGCTCGGGCTTGAGGCCTGTATTCCCTTCCTCATCCTGGAACTCACAGGAGCTACCCAATAGGACATCTCAACTAGTGACAGGGGATCTTGGCCTCTCTTGACACGTGGTGCTTGGCAGTGGCCCGCCCCAGCTCCTCTCAACCGAACTAGGAATGTTCTTTTGACCACTTCAGCTCACGTGACATCGTCCAGGGGAGCCGGGAACCAAAGGAGGTCGGCATTTCCTTATCTACCCATCCCTGTCCTGGGCACATAGTAGGATACGTACTCAGTAAATCTGCCCAGATCACCGCGAAGTGCGTCTTCAACTGCACCTATTGCCTGCGACCTGCTCAGCACAATTCCCTCGTTCACACTGCGCCTGGCAAATGCTCTGACTTGAAGCAAGAAACCACATGCTGGTAGGTCTCTGCTGTATAAGAGGAGATGGCAAGGAAGACAGGTACATCCTCTTTCCTGAAGTCAGCACTGGATTGTTTGTGGCAATGTCCTTGCTGGTGGAGTGTCCAGGCCTTTGGCTTTTATTCGTCAGCATCCTGGCCCAAGGGGCAAAGCTGGACAGGAGGCGGCAACCACAAGAGTTTTCCCATTCTCCTAGTGACTAACAGCTCCATAGAAGGAAGACTGGGATTAACGCTTGAAACGAGGCCAAAAAAGTTACCCACAGGGTTTCCATTCTTTCCGCTTTTAATCTGTCCCTATGACCAAGAGTCACCAAGAGCTGGCTCTATTCCTTTGTTCCTGTGAGTTGCAGGGAAGACAAAGGTGTGGGCTCCCACTGTGGCCAGATTCCCTGGTGGTGGGGGTGGGGGGTTGTGGAGTCTGGCGAGGGGAATTAACTCTTCTTACCTTAGCAGTACAGCTGGTGTGAAGACACTAGGACGTGTAGCCATGAATCCAATGGACTAAGTGGAAAACTCCAAGGAGAACAGGAACCAGGGGCTCTTGGTGGAACCGGGGCAGGGGAAATGTCAGAGACAGAAATATGAGACTCTGGGCGGTGATAAAATAAATCATTTTAATGGGAGGCTTTCCGAAAGGGTAACTTTTTCTTGTGCTATGAAGCAGCCAGTTTCCTTGCCTTGGGGGTTTCTTGGGTGGTGTCCTGACTGAACCCCTAGCCCCACTGGGAGCTAGGATGTTAGTCTGACACTATGTTCAGCCCCTCCAGGATCCAGAGGTGTGTCTTAACATCAGGAGATTGGAGTCGGCTGGCAGTCAGTCCCAAACGTACAGTGCCTGTGTGTGTCCAGGCCTGAGGGAAAGGGGCAGAGGCTTCACTTCCGACTCAGGATACGTCTCCGTGGGGGGAGAAAAAAAGGGGGGAAATCACTTTGAAAATTCAACTCTGACCTTTACAAAGAAAACTAATAGACACTTTAGTATTATATACAGGGTAGGGGCGAAAGGGAGTGGAGGGGAAATTGCACTTAATTACAGTAGGTTATAGTTTACACCCATTGGACAAATTTACTTCTTCAAAAGAAATCTCGAGATCAGCTGGGAGGGGTGGGGGAGGGGGGGAGTCTGCAGATATTTACAGTGTGTTTGGCTCAGTTCAACAGCACGTGTCCTCCTCCTGTCAGTAACAGATTCAAGTTTTCACATCAGTTTGTTCGATGAAGGAGCATAATGCAGGCACGACAGCGTTCTCTCTTCCTCTTCTGCGGTTTCTTGTCTCCCGCCTGTGGGCGGGATGGGAGTACTTGACGTCTTGGGAGAGGCATGGCAACAATACTGCTTAGAAGGGAAGGGCTGCGCCTCGGAGCGGCTGTCTGAAGCGTCAGCAAGATGTCAGGTAAGCAGAGACCTCTCGAAGGTGCTTGTCAGGTCACTGGGCTTTTCTGTGACAGCTGCCCGGAGGGTGATGGTGTGGAAAATAGGGTCCTTGTTGCTGTGCACAAAGCAAGTGATGTGTGGTCATCACCAGGCTTGGAGAGGGCACTGCAGAGAGAGCAGAGAGAGCTCAGCCGTGTGCAGTTAGCGGGGACAACAGCCCTTGGTTTGTCTTCTCCAGGGGAGCCGAGACCCAAGTCAGCCGGCAAAGGGCCGAGGACCTAGTGCCTGCTCGATGCCACAGTGTTGGTCCTGAAGCACACTCCCTTTAGGAACACTCGGGAGCCAGATCTTCTGGCCACTTCAGAAGAGAGAAGTGAATTGCTGGGGACCTTGAATTAATCATAACTCACTGACCTTTACTCTGGAGTCAAGCTCCTCTTTCTTTGAGAGTGGGTTTTTACTTTAATGTTTGTTTATTTTTGAGAGGGGGGAGGGGCAGAGAGAGAGGGAGGCACAGAATCTGAACAGGCTCCAGGCTGTGAGCTGTCAGTACAAAGCCCGACGTGGGGCTTGAAGTCACAAACCGCAAGATCATGATCTGAGCCGAAGTTGGAAGCTTCTACCCAGGTGCCCTGAGAGTGGGTTTTACGATGTGCTCAGTGTGGGTGCAATGGCAGCTGGACAGGAGCTTTTGCCTCTCATGGAAGTCAGGGTCCTGTTCCTAAGACCTCTAAGGGCTGGGGTCCCCTAGACCATTGATCCCCAAACTTCAATGGACCTAAGAATACCAGACATCCCGTGAAAATGTGTATTCTGATGGAGTGGGCCTGTGGTGGACCTAAGAACCTGCATTTCTAATCAGTTCCCAGATTGTGCCAATGCTGCCGATCTACTTGAGCACATGAGAAAATGGCCACTTGCTCAAATGACCCATCAGGGAAGGAGTGTGGGAAAGTGCTCTCTGTAGGCTTGCTCCTAATAGGACAAGAGACCTGGGCTGAAGGCCTCTGATGCCCAGACGAGGGCAGGAGACCCCAGAACAGATGGAGAAACCCCCTGAGAGGAGTCACCCCTTCCAGAGCCCTCGGCCTCATTCATTTCAACCGTCATGGCACACCATTCCCGTCCTTTTCCAGGGAGGCCCTTTTTGCTTCCCTCTGTCTCTTCTTTCCCTTTCACTTGTTTGGGCATCTTAGGGGAAAGTTCTGCCTTTTGACTTAATGGCTCTTTCTCTAAAGACTCTTCCCTAAACACTCAGGAGCACACATAAGTGTGTGCGCACACACACACACACACACACACACACGCACAGCCCCCCCTACCATTACTACGAAAGGCCTATTATCCCATTATTATCTCATAAATCAGTGCTCCCAGCCATAATCCTGTATGAGGTTGCCATTATGCCCATTTTACAGATTAGGAAGATGAGTTCAAAGAAAATGAATTGTCCAGGGTTTTAGAACTAGGACAGCATAGAGACAGAAATTCAAACTGGTTCCGGGTACCCTCCTGGCACATGTTCTTTCTATTATGCTCTGAGGTTAAGAGTCTTCTACTGGCTTTGTGCTCTTGGTCAAGGTATTCTCTTTGTGCCTCAGTTTTTTCATCTGTAAAATGGAAGTTGTAGAGGGATCGGGTGAGCCGATACATGGGAAGTGTTCAGAATTAACACTGGGCTACACAGGGTGGTGCCCTAGTCTGTGCGGTCCTCGAGCCCTCTTCAGAATGCGACTGAGCTGTGCATTCATTTGAAGGGACCAGTTCTGACCCTTTTAAATTCTTGAGGCCCTTGTCAGGGTCCTCTGATACCCTTTGCCTCCTCTTCCTCCCGTCGCCCACCCCCACTTTTGAGTCTCTTTACTTCCCACTATCAGCCCTTTTCCAATTTTCAGATTTCAGGGAAGGAGAGAGAAAATGGCTTGTGACCTTGCAGGTTTCAATAGAAGAGCAAACAAGAAGGGCAGATAAGGAGACGCCAGCGAGATTCTATGACCTGTCATTAGGGATGGGCTTCCCAGCTATCAAATGTTTGCTCACATAATAAAATGGTGGCAGAGCCCTAAATGTTGTCAAAGGAACTAGAGTTATTTGTCCCCTTCAGAGTCTAAACACAAACAGCTGATAAGGGGTGCGCTGTGGTCCCTCAGAACCAAGGCCTGGCACACCCAGCCCCTCGGGGGCCTTGCCCAGAGGATCTGAGGGAACCTCCCTCTGAAAGGGGTGGTAGCTGTGGTGATTACGTATGGTAAGAGCTAACATTTATCGAGGTCCCACTGTGTACCAGGCACTGTGCTAAGGAAAGACTTTACTCACATCATTGTATTGGATTCACACATCAACCCTTTGAAGCAGGTAATTATATTCATTCATTTAATACATTTTTGAATGCCTTCTACATACTTAGCACTTTTTTAGGCACAGGGGATGCAGCCACAAATAAGACCCTGTCCATACCCTCACAGAGTTTATATTCTAGAGAGAGATCTGAACAATAAAGTGAATGAATATATATGTATGTGTACACACATGTGTATACATATTGTACATATGTGCACAAAATAAAACAATAAAGTGAATGAATATATATGTATGTGTACACACATGTGTATACATATTGTACATATGTGCACAAAATAAAATTTCAGATGGAGATGAACACTGTAGAAATATAAGCATGATGACAGGTTAGGGTGATTTGAAGGCAAAGGGAATAATTTATAGAGGGGAATCAGGAGGGGCCTCCTGGAGGTGGTGACATTTGAGCTGAATGAAATGAGGGAGCAAGCATGAAAAGATGTGCATTATGGAATTTGGGGGGCAGAAGAGACCACAAATGCAGAAGTCCTGAAGCGAGATCACTTCAATTCTGGTTCAGCTGAAGCTGGGTGAAAGAGGGAGGAGAGGAAGGAAGTGAGAAGGGCAGGGCCGGCAGGGGGCTGATTACACGGCAGGAGGCCTTGGAAGCCTCCATTTCAGCTTGGTTGCAATGGGACACTATTGGAGAGTTTTGACGCGGGTGGGGGTGACATGATTGGTTTCCCCTCTTAAGAGATCATTCTGGCTCCTGCGTAGTGAACAGACAGTAACCACCACCGTGGGGCAGGAGTGGACGTAGGAGTGAGAAGCTGGGGCCAGTGCAGGGCATCAGTGAGAGCAGGGGCTGGACGGTGGGGAGTGAGAAGTGCTCAGATGTGGGATGCAGAGCTTATCCATGGACTGGTTGTAGGGCGCGCAGAGAAGAATCAAGGAGACTCCCAGGTACCTCACCTGAATAACTGGTTACCATTTCTGGAAACGGAGAAGCCCCAGGACGAAGCAGTGCGAGTAGGGAGAAACGGGCAAAATGAAGAGTTCCTATTTTGGTGAGGCTTGTCAGATACACCGGGCATTTGCATGTACATGCCCGAGCTGCACCGGCTTTGTAAATGGGCCACTCAAGGGAGAGGTCTGTACTGGAGACAGAAGTACACGATCCATCAGTGTGTATGCTTGATCCAAAGCCATGGGATTGGGGATCACCCAGGAGTGAACACAGAAGAGAATGAGTGATAGGGCCCTCCAACAACAAAATGTTGGGAAAACAAGCTGCCAGCTATGGAAATGAGGAGTGCCACAGTGGGGGAGAACCAGGAATGGGTATCGTTCCAGAAACCAAGTGAAAAAAGGAGGGAGGATCAGCTGTGTCAGAGGCAGAGGTCGGAAAGTCCCCATTGGGTTTGACAATATGGCGGTACTTGTGAGCTGGACCGGAGAGGTTCTAATGCGGTGTCAGGACAAATGCCCATCAAGAATAGCCGTAAGACAGAATTGGGGGTGAGGAAGTAGGGACCGTGAGTACAGATAACTTCCTGCTGTTATTAAGTTAGATTAATTATGGCTCCATTAATTAGAAGTAATGATTATACTTCAAGGAAATTGAGGCCTAGAAAGATTATAAATAACTTGCCCAGGGTCTCACAACAGAAAAGTCTATGCTCTTAAACACGAGGAAGGTTATTTCCTTCTACCTTCTGAGTGTGGTCACAGGGAGGCCACGGAGAAATAAAGGCTACTTACAGTCTTCCTTCCTCAGGGTTGCCAGCAGGGGAGGCCAAGTTCACCCCAGCCACCATGGGCTGGGTGTTCTGGGCCAAGCACCAAGCTAGGTATTTTACAAGATTTATAGCATTCAGTCTTTTTAATGACCGTCCAGAAGAGGAATCATTATTTTCATGTTACAAATGAGGAAACCGAAGCTCAGAGAGGCTAGGACTTTTGCCTGAGGTCACCCAGGTAGAAGGTGGTAGAATCTTGGGCCTGGGTCTGCCTAACTCCCAAGTCGGTGCTCTTAATCATCACACCATACTGGCTGACCACCAGCAGAGATGGTTGGAAGCTGTGGAATAGTTGCCAGGGATTTATGGCAAGGCTGTCCACCTCCCTGTCAGCACACCTGACTGGTGGCTGCTCTGGGGGCCCTCTCCTGACCTCTCTATAAACTAGGAAGTGGAGCTGTAGGCACAGAGGTTGTGGAAACAGGATTCGGCTCTCAGCCTGCCCACACTTGTTCTAACCAAGGTCGGTGCTTGCTGCGGTCTGGTTTCCAGACTGGCGGGGCATTGTTTTGCAGGAGCTCAGGCACAGACCCACTCGTATGGTAACTCGCCAGCACCCAAGGTTGAGGAGGGGGGGAGGCATAAGCTCTGGAAAGGACGGAGGGCAGGAGCTGCAGGTGAGACAGTCCCACCCTGAGATTCCTGAAATGTGATCCACAAGGCCCTGGGGCACGTCTGTCCTGACAATGGAAAACACTGGGATCAGATACAAGTTCAAATCCTGGTTTTAGCCTTTTACCTACATAACCTCAGGTCATTTTTATGAATGCTTAAAAATGGATATTAGAAGGAGAGCATTGCCTAATGGATTTGGAGTGAGAAGAGCAGTAGTCTGGAAGTCGAGTTCCAGGTTCATCATCTGTGTGAATTTGGCCAGATCCCATCCCACCTCCGAAGCTCAGTGTTTTGCTCTGTAAGTCAGCCTCGCAGAATGGGTGGGGAAGGTTGGCCACGAAAGGTAAGAATGGAAAAGCACCCAGAGTGCTGCTATGGAAATGGGAGGCACTCAAAAAATGTTAGTTCTGAATTCATTCACTCACTCACTCACTCACTCACTCACTCACTCACTCACTCACTCATATTTACTGAATGTCTACTATAGCCCAGGCATTTGGCTAAGCACAGAGGCATTCCCTGCTCTATTTGCTTTTATCCTGGGAGTGAACCTCCTTTGACCCCATGTAGTTCAGTGAGTTACATTTTGAAGAAGTCGATAGAAAGTATCTCCTAAAGGATCACAGGTGGCAAGGAGAAACAGGGGGTTAGCACTCTGAGTACTTGACCATGTACCAGACACTGTCTCCTACACTTTGAAGATCCTGTGGTGGGGGGTGGGTAGGATTTCCTCCACGAGAGACGCAGAAGTGGTCTCGCAGGGTGAATCAACTGCCCAAGGTCACATGGCGAGTGGGGAAGGAACCAGGATTAATGCAAGGCTGCTGGGCTTTCCTAGAACTCTGGGGTGCTTCTACAGTAGCACTGCCCAGGATGTGTCCCTCTGCCCGGAGCTTCTGTGCACACTAATGGCCCCATTTGAGACACACAGCAGCATGTGAAAGATTCAGAGAAGCCCCGCCTTGTGGTGTCTAACTTTAACCCAGCCGTTCACCCAATACTTATAATGAAGGGATCTTCCCCTCCTCACACCATGTGCCCCCAACTCCCAGCAATGGTCTTAAAACTCCTTTTGGAAAATAATACTTTAAAACAAAGAGAAAGCAGAATTGCCACCGGAACTCATTTCTGACCCTTTGCCTTGGGAACAGAGTTAGTGCAAATTTTCTTCACCTTGGTTCTTTCTGCCGTCAGGAGGCAGCACCTGTACCCTCACTTGACTTCATTCTGCCCTTCTCCCCGCTTCCTCTTCTTCAGTTTGTAGGAAGGAAGTTTCCTGATTGGAACACCTACGTGGGCTAGATTTTACTCTTGTTCCTGACCGTTAACTCCACAACAGCAGCAAATACCATGGGTATTTTAGAGATGGATATTGGAAGACAAATATTGTTTAGGTGGAAGGAGTCTAGGATTTAGAGCCAAAGCCCAGAGTCTAAAGGTCCAGCTCTAGAAGTGATCACCTGTTGGACCTTGGGAAGGTCACTCTCCACCTCTGAGCCTCAGTTCATTCCTTTGTACTAAGGAAGTTTCAATAAAAAGAAATGATGAGATCCTGTTCATGAGAAGTGTAAACATAAAATGCTATGTGAATAGTTTTATCCTAAGTGTGATCATCCTTCTTATCATCCCAGAAATGAATATACTACCAGACTCCTGGAATATCCAGGGACTTAGGGACAACTTCACGGTGGTTCTAGAGGGCTGTTCATGCAGCTTCAAGGTCGGCTGGCCACTCTGTCCAGTTGGAGGGGAGACGCCATTTGGGGGCCAGATGCTCAGAGAGCATCTCCAAGTATTTTGATTAAGAGACAATTTCCTGAATTCAGAGGGCCTGTTTCAACAAGCAAGCATCAAAGTCAACTTGGGGAAGACAGGAATAATTAATCACAGCCCTGTCTAGGGCTGACCAAGCGGCAGATGGATTGATAAACCTTTCAAAGGGGAAGGTATTCCCAAGCAGGGCTGCTGCGCCTGGCTGCCCCCCTGATTGAGATTTGTGAGCACAGATAAATGTTTTCCCTGCTCACTACAAAGAGTGGGAAATCGCACGGGAGTCGAAGGGCAGGGCAACAGGGGGTGTCCTTTCATCTTCCATTGGGTGAGAGAAGAGTGGCAGAGCCGGTCCCACACAATGCTCCCTCTCTCCCACCTCCAGAGCCCAGCTCTGGAGGCTGTGTGTGTGTGTGTGTGTGTGTGTGTGTGTGTGTGCGCGCGCGCGCACGCGCGCGCGTGCACGCATTTCATGAACGCACATGCACACACCCAGGACATGCCAGGCCCTTAATCTACATGACCTCATTGAATCTCCAGAATAAGGAGATGTTACAACTCTCATTTTAAAGCTGAAGAAACAAGGGCTCAGACAGGTCAAGGTCACCAAACAAGTGGCAAACCAGGAACAGAAGCTACTGCTCCACAACACTGCAGGACCAGGAGATGTGGGCAAAGGGAAGAACAGAGAACCTGAGCCCATGAAAGAACTTGCTCGGCAGCATGTGGCAGTGGAGGAGGTGTGATTCGCAGGGCTCAGGTGGATAAAAGACCATCAACAAGACCAAACCCTGCTGAGAGCCACTGACATGAAGTTCAAGGTTGTTGCCTACTTATCTAGTAATCAATAAAGGCCAAACAGTTCCCACACTGCACAGACCCCAGCTCCTAAAAGGTCCTATTGTATTATTCTGGAATTGTCATGCATGCTCAGACATCTTGTCCTATTTCCTAACTCTCGGTGTCCCGTGACAGTCCAGCTGTCCAAGCGGCAATGATGAGCCACACCTTTGGTTGTCTTTGCTACTCCATCAACCCTGCGTGGAGGTGGGAACCAGCCATCCACTGAAAGAGTGACTAAGCCTCTGGATTTCCCACTTTTCATGCACCAGGAAGTCAATTCCAAGCTTCTTGACAGCAGACCAAGTAAATGCAGGTCCCCTCTAAGGCCAGGTTGTCTACTGGGGCATCTCCATGGGTCGGTTGAATTGGGTCATTCTCTGGAGCTTACAGCGTTCTGGGTCCAGCATGGGTCTTGGACTGGGGGAATTGGCCTCAGGACCCTGACTGCTTACTCCCTTTTTCCATTGATTAACTTGTGGAAAATCCTCAAAGGGGTCCCTCTTGCAAAGCATGAAACTCTTTAGAGGGTGTGACTTTCCTGAGTCTCCCTTGGAAACACCTTTTCTATGGCTCACTGATTAATCCCCTGGGGGAATATTCAGTCTCACTACCTAAAGGCTCTGTGTCACCCAGTCTCCAGTGATTTATCAAGCTGTAGTCATTTTTTGCTCTTTAGCCTGTGGCCCATCTTCTTTGCCCTGTGACCTCAGGGATTCCTCTAGCAAGTAACCAGGAGCCTGGGAAGGACCAGGCTTACGGCTCAGTCCACACGCACCACGCTCTCTGCACGTCAGTAGCCCCAGCCATTGCCCTCTCCTGACTTCCTGCCGGCATTACCTGTTTACTGGAAGACATGTTGGTAAGCGTACTGATGCTGCTTGTATCCGTGACCACCATCGCAGACGGAAACCGGGATGTGTGCGAATACTGGGGGGGTTCTTGCTTGTGTGTGTACACTGGAGAGACAGAGTGAAGACAGAGTCAAGCTGAGATCACACAAGCACATGCACAGCTACAGATACCCCATCCCATCCCATCGCTCCTGTGTCCCCAGGCAGACGGAAGGGCAGTGGTGGAGGCGGCGATGTTTTGGAAGGCAGTGTGTTGGGGTAAAAACATTAGCCGTGTGTTTAAATCCTCGCTCAATTACTTAACCTCAATTTCCTCATCTGTAAAATAGGAATGTAGGGTTAGAAAACATCATGTGGAAAGTACTTTGTACCAAAGAGCTTTGCACAGTGTCTTTCATGTAGTAGTGGACAGCACTTCTGTTCTCCTGACTTTCAAGTGTTTATTTATTTTTGAGACAGAGCGAGACAGAGCATGAACGGGGGAGGGGCAGAGAGAGAGGGAGACACAGAATCTGAAGCAGGCTCCAGGCTCTGAGCTGTCAGCACAGAGCCCGACGCAGGGCTCGAACTCACGGACCGTGAGATCATGACCCGAGCCGAAGTCGGACGCCCAACCGACGGAGCCACCCAGGCGCCCCGTGTTCTCCTGACTTTCAATAAAATGTTAGGTGCCCAGACATCAACAAGCGTTCCCCTCAGGCATATGTGACGCATCAGAGATTTTAAGACAAAAAAAAAAAAAAAAAAAGTTCTAAGCAGTTAGCAAACATAAACGAACTGGCCAGCGCATGCTTGTTGTATCTGCCGTGACTCAAGCACCTGGCCTCATGCAAGCAATTATAAATGAATTAACAATGATAATTAGACATGGATATAGTTAATTGTATAATCAACAATTATACAATTATAAATAATTATATAAATCTGGGTTGTTCCAGACTGCACTAAAATGACATCGTATGTCACATCATGCCATCGCAGAAATAGGAAGGATGACGAAGGGAGACAAGATTCAAATAAAACCTCCAGGAGCATGTGACTCGGTTTTTAGCTTTAACAGTACTTGTTCACCAAGTCTAGAACATTTTGAGTTCTGTAACTGACCATTAGATTCATATAAACTCCAGGTCACATGACCGAACAGAAGCATGTGGCTGTTGGGCCATGAGGGAGGGAGCAGTTTATTCTCTACCAAAGCATCCTCTAGTAGGCAATGGGGTAAATGTCACCACTTGCTAGCCCAGCTTGTCCTTCCTGTGGAGGGAGGCCGGTTATTTCCTGGTCCGGGGGCCCCTAGCTGGGCCTTGGTGGTCAACAGGTCACTGGTGACCAGTCTCTGGCTGTCCCACCTGGGCCTGGCCACGGAGGAATCCTGCCCAGGTGAGGGGGCAGGGACAATTGGGGGCGTATTGCCAGGCCCTGAAAAGACAGAAAGTGGGGTATGACATATGGTCCCAGACTCTGCTACAGGCTATGGCAGATTTTTTTTTTTTAAAGCCACACACACACACACAAAATGTGATTGGAATGTGAGATGGTGCATAGAAACAAGCTCCACAGGCCTGAGGCGGGGACAGAGCCTGAGGATAGAAGGCCAAACTTGGTTGCTCTTCCTTAGACCCATGGCTCCGATTGAGGCAGCCGGGGAGAAACAAAATTCCCCTTCCCCATTCCTGCCTCCTCTTATTAAAAACTCCCTTAATAAACAATGACTTGCATTTCTTTCACTCTTATGCTCACCAAACACGGTTCATACCAAGTCTTACTCCATCTCCATTATCACTCTACATTATTTCCATTTTACAGATGAGGAAAATTGAGGCCCAGAGAATGGCTAAATAACTTACCAATGGCTACACAGCTGGTAAGTCTCAGGACCAGGATTTAAATTTAGGTGTGTCTGACTCCAAGAGATGATCACTCTATTACAGAGACTTCTCTGGTGTTCCTGTGGGATGGTGCCTGCCATGATTTCTCCCCAGACTTGTAGGCCAGGGGCTGTATCCTGACATGGCCAGAGGGCTGGGGGCCTGGGGCTCAGGGTGGAGGGCAGAGATCTAGTGGCTGGCTGTGGGTGGGAAATAAGTGGTTGAAAGACAGGACTGAGAGTAGGTATAGAAATAGGATATGAGAACTGGGCGGGGGGGGG